TGTTCCGGATATGCTGTCCCGGTCTCGCCCAGCAGGGGGCACCGTGGGGAGCGGGGTGCTGGCTGAGGGGGTGATCCCGGATACTCTGTCCCTGGCCTCGCCCAGCAGGGGGCGCCGTGGGGAGCGGGGTGCTGGCTGAGGGGGTGACCCCGGATACTCTGTCCCGGCCTCGCCCAGCAGGGGGTGCCGTGGGGAGCGGGGTGGGAGCCCTGGCTGTGGGGGTGATCCGTGCTGCCCTGGCCCCAGCAGCAGGGATCGGTGCACATGGACGGAGGCAGGTTTTGAAGGTCCTGTGGGGTGGGGCTGGGGGCTGGGGCGCCGCAGAGACCCCTGATCTGTGACGGGGGCTCTCGCTTCCATGTCCTTCGCAGCAACGCTGAGGGTCCTGATCAGTGACGTGAACGACAACAGCCCGGAGTTCCTGCGCATCAACGACACCTTCGGTGAGAGCGCGGGCTGGGGGCTCTGCGTGGGGGCGAGGCCGGGGCCCTGCGCCCAGCCAGCCAGCGGGGCCTGTCCTGAGCGCTGGCAGGGCCCTGAGCCTTGGGGTGTGGAGCAGGACTCGGGTGGTGCCCTGGTGCCACCGTGCAGCTGTCAGTGCCCGTCACAGCCCCTGGATGAGAGTGGTGGCACGGGAGCCCTGTGAGCTCGGCAGGTGCCCGATTTTGCCCAGTGGGCTCCAGCAGAGGGTGGCTGCAGCCGCCGTGTGCCGTTGTGAGCTGAGCCGAGCGCTGGCCGCGACTGAGCCGTCTCCCTGTCTCCTTCGCAGTTGTGGTCCCTGAGGTCTCCCCCGTGGATCTGCCGGTGGCTGTGGTCAAGGTGAGGAGGCTGCGGGTCCGGGGCAGCTGCCCTTGGGGGGATTGCGGGGGGGCAGCCCGGAGCAGGGGGCTGTGCCGACGGGGCCATGACATGCCCGGTCTCCTGTCACAGGCCAGGGACGCCGACTCGGGGCCACGCGGAGCCATCACCTTCAGCATCTCCAAAGTCCTGTTCCTCCAGGACAACGGGCCCTCCCACACTCTCACCAGTGTCTTCAAGGTGGCGACGGCGGCTGAGGGGGACCTCTACGTCGGCAGCATCCAGTAACGCCGGGGCAGGGAGAGAGCTGGCCCTGGGGGGGCAGCGGGGCAGGGAGAGAGCTGGGCCTGGGGGGCAGCAGGGGTAGCTGGGCCTGGGGGCAGTGGGGCAGGGACAAAGCTGGGTTGGGTGGGCAGTGGGGCAGAGGTAGCTGGGTTTGGTGGGGAGCGTCTGAACACCCTGCTGTCCTGACAGAGTTGCAAGCAACCTGGATGGGTCGGTAAAGGGCCGGTACCAGGTGACGGTGGAGGCCAAAGACAGCGGGACGCCGTCGCTCAACTCCTCGGCCGTGCTGGACGTGAGTACGCTCCCGGCCCTCTCTGCGGCCAGCGCTGGGCACGGCACCGTGCCCACACCTGGCCTGGCTCACCCACCGGCTCTCCCTCCCCCCACTGCAGATCTTCACCGTGGACCAGAGCTACCGGGTCAGGCTGGTGTTCTCGACCTCCGTGAACGAAGTGCAGGAGAACTCGGACAGGATCAAAGCGTGAGGGGTCCCTGGGCGCAGACGGGGCGGGGTGTCACAGTCACCTGGCCGGCCATGTGCACCCGCGCGTGTGCAGACGACACGGCGGTGTGCACCCCTAAGGGGACCGGTGGTGTCCAGGACCATGTGGCAGGCTCAGTGCCCACCTCCCCTCGCTATTCCAGTCCCACCTTCCCATCAGCCCTGCAGCTCCCCGCCCCCTTGCTGCGTGGGCCACGGGCTGCACCGGCGGGGCCCTGAATGCCCAAGCCGCCTGGTGCTGCTGGCCGGTGGGGAAGGCCCCCGGGGTACCATGTGCCCAGGTGTGCTCCCGCTCGGGACCAGCTTTGACCCGTGACGTTGGAAGGGAGAACCGGATGCCCCCACCTGGCTCTGGCAAGTGACACGTCTCTATCCACCCCCGGGCCTGCGAGTGGAGGGCTGAGGCAGCTAGACTGGGGCTCCCTGGGGCTGATGGCGTGGGGCACGGCCCATGTACCAGCCTCCTCCCTGTTTGCTCCAGGGCTCTGACGGTGGCGACCAGGACGACGGTGTATGTGGCAGTGATCCAGTCCGCGGCGGATGCGCAGTCCAGATCGTCCAGGTGCCCGAGGCGTGGGAAGGGGGCAGGGCACAGGCCAGGTGGGGGTGGCCAAGGCTGTGGGGCTGGGGCAGATCCTGGGGGAGGGGTGGGGTGGTGCAGGCTGGAGAGAGTGAGGTTGGTGGGGGTAGATCTGGCAGAGGATGACGACAAGGCAGGTGAAGGCCAGGTGCTTGGCGGCTGCTGGCCCTGGGCCCTGGGTCTGCAGTTGGGACGTGCGGGGAGCCGGGACAGGGCTAAAGCAGGGGCCAGGGGCCACGGGTGTGGGATGGCACTGCAGGGTTGTGACAGGGCCGGACTCTGGGGCTGCCATCGACGCGTTCCCGGATCACATGATGGCCTCTCGCGTCCTGCAGGGCCCAGGAGAAGTCTGTGATGGAGGCGTACTTCGTGTACAGCAACGGGACAGCCCTGGGGGTGAACGAGCTTAGCATGTGAGTGAGGTTAGCTGGCAGGGGGGCGGGCAGAGGGCTGTCTGTGTGGGGGGGTGCTGTGTGCGGGGTGTGTATGCAGAGGGCGGGCTGTGTGTAGGGTGTGTGCTGTGGGCAGGGGGCGGGCAGAGGGCTGTCTGTGTGGGGGGGTGCTGTGTGCGGGGTGTGTATGCAGAGGGCGGGCTGTGTGTAGGGTGTGTGCTGTGGCGGGGGCGGGCAGAGAGCTGTCTGTGTGGGGGGTGTGCTGTGGGCAGGGGGCGGGCAGAGGGCTGTCTGTGTGTGGGGTGTGCTGTGGGCGGGGTGTGTGTGCAGAGGGCTGTCTGGGGGGGCGCTATGGGCAGGGGTCTGGGGGGCACCGTGGGTGGGATGCCCGCGAAGGGCCGTCTGGGGCAGCACGAGTGGGGTTCACATCTGGGTTGTGTCCTCAACAGACTGGTCCAGAGCAACTCGCAGGCGCTGAGCGAGCTGATCCAGTTGGGACTCACCATTATTGTGAGTGTGGCGGAGCCGCCTTGGCTGGGGGGGGCCGCGGGAGCCGCCTTGGCTGGGGGGCCGCGGGAGCCACCTTGGCTGGGGGGGCCGCAGGAGCTAGCCGGGCTGGGGAGGTGCTGTCTCCTCCCAGAGGAAGGGCCGGGCTGGGCAGGGCGTGTTGGAACCTGCCCCCTTAGGGCCACGGCCGCTCGCCTGAAAGCAGCACGTCGCGTCAGCCGCCTCCTCGCTGGGTTTGGAGGGGGCACCGGGGCTGGGTACCTAGGGGAGGCTGGCGCGCCCAGGACCGGGGGCACTGCGGGGAGGGTCCCAGGGGAAGGCTGAGGGCAGGGGAGCAGCGAGAGCTTTGCTGGCTGACCCCCCCAGAGAGCCGGAGCAGACGGCCCGAGGGGGCTGATGGCAGGGGAGGCTGCGTGTTGGGGGGGACCGGGGGGACCGGGGACGAGGGATGCTCCCCCGGGGAGGACGAGCTCCCAGCACAGAGGTGGGGGTCTGGCCGGAGGAGAGGGGGTGCACTGCACTGGAAGGGCTGGGATGGCTGACCAGGCAGTGGGGTAGGCTAGGGCTGGGGTGGAGGACGCCGGCGCGTGGTGCACACCACGTTGATGGGGTAAGGGCAGTGCCCCGGGGTGAGGAAGGGGCTGGTATGGGCTATTTGCACTGGGGGGTTGCAATTAACTGGCCCCAGGGAGGGTATCGCCGAGTCTGTGAAGCTGGCATGGGTTCCTGGGGCGCTGAAGGAGGCGGGTGGAGGTGGACACGCTGAGGGCACTCCGGGCAGGACTGCCCTGTGACAGAAGGGTGGGTCCCTCTAACACAGCGACCCCCCCAGCCCCTCGGCAGTGACCAGGCTGCTGGCTGGAGAGGGGCTGGCCCCCGCTCTGGGGGTGGGGGGTGGCACAGCCTGTGCAGCGGTGGGATCCTGATGCGGGGGGGTGACGTGTCTCTATGCCCAGGGCCCCGGGACAGTGGTGGAGCCCAATAAGGAGAACGAGCTGGTTGGCATCATCGCAGGGCTGGCTGGGGGCCTGGTGCTGCTGCTCCTCGTCATGACGCTGGCCTTGCTGGCCACCAGCCGGAGGTAGGAGATCCCCCCACCCCCTTGGCCCCCGGCCCTGCCGACCCCTGCCTGTCCCGCCCCATATCTCCTTCTGCTGCTCCTGCCCATGCATGTCCCCTGCCGGTCCTGTGCCCTCCTGTACCATTGCAGGTGCCAGCCTGTCCCCATTTCCTGCCCCAGCCAGCATTGCCCTCTGCTCCACGCCCCGTCACTCACCCCTGCCCACTGTTTGCTTTTGCAGCTACAGGAGGAAGCTGAAGGCCATGAAAGCGCTGAAGGTGGCGTCCACGCTGACAGCCAACGTGGCACAGCAGGGGCCGACCATCCCCGGGACAAACAAATACAACGCTGAGGGGTGAGCATGGCCGGCAGGAGGGGGGCTGCGTGCGCCCCCAGACCTGCCTGGGCATCCATCCCTGGGAGCAGGGGCTGCGGCCTGGCCGGGGAGCTCCAGGAGCGTGGAGGCAGGGCTGTGACATGCCCCAGCACTGGTCGCTGGGAAGCAGAGAGGGGGTGGCAGTGCCATGGGGTATGTTTGTGGTGGACGTTCCTGGGCCCAGAGCCGCTCCCACCCCACGTGCTGCGCCCGACTGGGCACCGAGGGCCACGTGCCCAAAGAGCAAAGGCCCCTTGGGTGGCCCAACAGCATGTGAATGGCCTCTGGCCGCGTGTGCCCCGCTAGTGCCCCGGCTGCACACCGCTCCACTTTGCTGTGTGCGGTGTCTGCCTCGGGGTGCGTCAGGGAGGGGGCTGGGCTGCTGCGTTGCAGTGGTGCTGGGGCTGCTGCACGGTTGTTGCGGTGTAGCTGGGCATGGATGTTTCTGTGTTGTGCTACCTGTGGTTGTGTCGTGGTTGTGGTGAGTGTGGCTGTGCTGTTGTGTTGTGCTGGCTGTGGTTGTGTCGTGGTTGTGGTGAGTGGCTGTGCTGTTGTGTTGTGCTGGCTGTGGTTGTGTCGTGGTTGTGCTGAGTGTGGCTGTGCTGTTGTGTTGTGCTGGCTGTGGTTGTGTTGTGGTTGTAGTGGTTGTGCTGTTGTTATGTTGTGCTGGCTGTGGTTGTGGTTGTAGTGGCTATGCTGTTGTTGTGTTGTGCTGGCTGTGGTTGTGGTTGTAGTGGCTGTGCTATTGTTATGTTGTGCTGGCTGTGGTTGTGGTTGTAGTGGCTGTGCTGTTGTTATGTTGTGCTGGCTGTGGTTGTGGTTGTAGTGGCTGTGCTATTGTTATGTTGTGCTGGCTGTGGTTGTGGTTGTAGTGGCTGTGCTGTTGTTGTGTTGCTCACCCCTGGTTGTTCTCTCCCCAGGGCTAACCCCGTGCTCAATCTCATGTTGGACGCCCCTGCGGACCTGGGCTTTGACGAGGACTCCAACTCCGACGCCGCCAGGTGGGACGGGAACGTGTCCTTGGGGGGCTGGGCTGTAGTGCCCCGGCCCCCATAGGGACCAGCCCAGGGAGCCCGCCCTGTGCCCTTGGTGTCCCCTCAGCCCCGCGGGTGGGCGCTCTGACCAGACGGGCACTGCCCAGCCCGACAACACCCTGGCTAATCTGTGCTGCTCCCTCTCCCACAGCCTGAACTCGCTGGACGAAAACATCGTGGAGAACCTGGCGGAGGGCAGCCCTGGTGCCCCGGAGCTGCAGGTGGGTGAGCAGCCCCCGTGCCCACCTCTACGGTGGTGGGCATGGCCTGCGTGGCCGCGCGCTCTGCCCGTGGGACGCCCGCTCTGGCCATGCACTAGCTCTGCCTCCCCCACGCTCTGTGCCAGCCTGTGGGCAATGGCCGTGGCAGCTCCCTGGCTTTGGTGCCCATGTCGTGTCCTCGCCTGGCAGCGCCATCGCCCTTCACTGCGGGTGCGCCTGGCACATCTGGGGGTGGAGGCTGAGGGGGAGGTGGGGATGGGAGCCCAGGACTGGGGGCGGCCGGCACCATGGGGGGGTAATTAACGATCCCAGCAGCTGTCAGACACTGGGCTGCTTGGTGGAGCCAGGACCCCAGCTGACTAGGGAGGGCAGCCAGGCTGGGGGGAGGGGCGGGGCACCCCTGGGGGCTGGCACTTCCGTGCGCTCACAGCCTGGCTCCCCGTGGTCCACCCGCGGAGGACGCCATAGCTGTGGGTCCAGCTTGTGGCTGGCACGGGGCAGTTCTGCTGGGTGCACTGTGGCCACACGACTCTGTCGCTCTCCCTCCGCAGCTGGGCTGGGCGGGGGCTCCGGCACAGCTGGGCGGCTGTGAGGAGCCCCTGACGGCCGCCCTGCAGGGCCACCGCACGACTCCGGCTAGCGAGCCGGCTCGGCGACCGGGAGACCCCAACAAGGCAACCTTCACCTTCAGCAACCCCTGCCTGGACACCACGGACCTGTGAGAGCCCTCGGCTGGCTCTGGGGAGGAGCAGCCACAGCACAGCGGGACTCGTGTGGCAGCTCCCCGTGGAGTGCTGGAGCTACCTGCTGGCTCTGTAATGGTCCCGTCCCCGCCAATAAACCTGCCCAGCCTGGGGCTGGCAGTCCCCCTTCCCGTGTGTGTGGGGGCCTCGCACAGCGCCCCAGGACTGTCTGGGCCCCGTGCTCGCGTGGCTGGCTGTGAGGAGCGGGACTTTGGGAAGCAGGGCAGGGGGCTGGGCCCTGGGGAGCGGGGTAGGTCCAGCGTGGGCAGTGGTGGCATTGGGGTATGTGTAGCTGCCTCTCCCTGCTAGAGACAGTGCCTGGGGGTCAGCATGGGACACGGGAGGACAAGGCACAGGCCAGGAACTGGAGCCTGCTGGGCCCTGGCTTGGGGCATCCCCCTGGGCCGTGGTACAGCATGGAGTGACTGGGGGGAGGGGGAAACCCTGGCACACGCTGGGCTGGCTCTTCCCTCGGCGCTTGGCACAGCCTGACACCGGGCCCAGGCCTGTGTGGCCCCCGCCTGGCTGGTGCAGCAGCCCCCTGTGGCGCTCAGACACTGCAGCCTATGCCCCTGGCAGTACCCGCCACAGCCATCGGGCTCCCCAGTGACATTTCCGGCACAGAGGCCTGGTAGCCTGGCCCGAGTGCAACGCATGGGATTGCTGCCCTAATCCCCCCCACGCACACTGCAGGGAAGAGGCTGCCCAGGGAGAGGCACACAGGGGTGCCCACTGGGGCTGGGCAAGGCAGGGCTCATGGGGTGTGCAGTGGGGTGAGGGCACACACTAGGGCTGGGCATGCAGGGGGCTCTGGGCACTTTGCAAAGCCGGCTAAAAGACTTTCCAGAGTCCAAAGGTGCCCGAGCAGTGTCAGCCAAACGGGCCGTGCCCCAGGGAGGCGGGAAGTGTTTCTCCCAGGGGCCGCTGGGGATGAGGCAACCCCAAGCCAAGCGCCGCTGCAGCATGATGGCCCCCTGGAGCAGCACCCGACGCCCCCCAGGCCCAGGAAAGATGGTGCTTCCCCCCCGGGGGGGGGGAGGAAGGCCCCCAGGGCAGGTTTTCCAGGTTTTATTACCCAACATCCAAGTTCACAAGTTTTACCCAAAAAAACAAGGAAAAAGAAGAAGTAAATGGCGAAGTCCCGGCAGCCGCCCGGCCTGGCTCAGTCCTTGTGATCTCTGCGGCACGCCAACGCTGTCCGGAGACCAGCATGCCAGGCGGGCAGGCCAGCTGTGCCACGTCTCCAGCCAGTGCCGCTGGATCTGCAGGCAGATTGTGGGGACCCCACCACCGGAGCACACATGCCCCCGCTCCCCTCTAGCCCTGTCTGAGAGCTGTTATGCCAGGGGCACGTCGCAGACCTGCCCATGCGGCTACAAGGCACTCGGGGACGAGCAGGCGACGTTCTGCTGTGGGGGGCACAGGTCGGGTGTGGGACTGGCTGCCATGGCCCAGTGCCTGTGTGCCGCTGCTGAGTGTACCAGCCCCCTTGGCTGTGCCAGGTGTGGCCCATGGGGCTGCCACTGAACGCCCCTGCCCGTGGCGTGATGAGCAGTGCCAGGCCATGGCATAGGCTGGAGGCAGCGGGACAGCAAGGGTGGGCTGGGGGGGGGAGGCTGACCAGCAAGAGGCTCCAGTGGCTTGGGCCAGCTCTGTGCCATACTCCACTCACCTCTGATCCCCTTCCAGTGCCCCACTGCCATCACCCTGTGCCTACCCCCCGGCAGGGCCACCAGGCACCTGTGCTCTGGCCAGGCGAGGTGCAGGGAGGCAATGTCTGTCCCGTCCGTCCCCCCCCTTTGCACGCGGGGTTTGTTAATGTGCTCGTAACGGGGTGAACTCGCCCCATCAGCCTCGTGGCTCTGGGAACGCTGCCCCAAGCGGCTGGGCCCTGGCAGGCTCCACCTGGCAGCGTGGGCACAACCCTGGATCACTGAGCACTGGAGCCAGCACAGGTGACTGGCACCGTGGGGTGCCCAGGGTGTCACCCTCCCCCCCAGCTACCTGGCCAATGCTGCAGCCAGTGGAAGCTACAATCTGCCCACCCCCCCGGCCA